GTCCAAAAGACGAAGACACCCAAAGGGTAACAGAAATTGAGTTAACTCACGTGTTTTAAAACTTACAGCCATAGTAATCATTATCATTACACAGTACTTTTATTACTAACAATAACAAGAATAATAATTATTACTGCTATTAGTTACCATTATTATTACTATTATTACTTCCTATAGTGTTCAGGATCAATTCAGCTAGGAGACAAATGAGCATCAGGCCAGGGAGGTAAACGGGAAGGCTAAAGACAGAAAGGGAATGCTAGAATAAACAATCCCATTCCTTTATTTTTGGTAGCAAATGATAAAAGATACGCAGCTGTCCTGGCTCCAAGGAGGGGCATTAATATATCACCTGATACACTCGAAAAGCTTACAAAAATCTGGTTATATTTTTTAATCATCTTGCATTTTAGACCTTTAAAGTACAAATATGGATTTCAAACATATCAGGGGAACAAATTAACTCAGAAAAATAGCTGTACTTTCCAAGGTTGCACCTGCCATGAAATTGCTCCAAGTTTGCATTTTCCCTTAGTCTCTAGTGTGCCATTACAGCAGATTGATCACCCTCCTCTCCCCGGCAACTCCCCCATTAGAGGGTTATTGTATGGAAATTAATGGGAGGCTAGAAACATTTCTTTTGCAGCTGCAGTAGCAGAAGTCAGTTTTGATTAAGCACTCGAAACCCAGCAGACTGGGGTGATCTCTCTGCTTTAGTTCCCTTTTTTATTATCACTGGTGTCAAGTTTTGTTACTTTAGCCATTCCCCTGGTACTCCCACTGCATCCTTGGGTAATAATAGGGGTTATTTTCTTATGTGCACTTCTGTTTATTTTAAATATGTACAGACTGATTCACACTGGTGCCAGGTCCCTTTTCACCACCCTTAACACAGCCACAGGACTCCCTTATGCTCATTACAAAGGCCTGTTTACACTGGCTGAGTGGAGTGAGGAAGCAGCGGATTTAAATGGGTATCAGGAACAGAGATATATACTTCTATTCAATTACCCCAAGAGCAGCTGTAGCTGGTGTCACATTTAATGTGTACCTGCTCTGTCTCTTATTCATCTTGCTGTTTCCTACCTGCCCAGTGTGATCCAGTTCCTATTGTCAGCTGGCAAACAACACACATCCAAAGTAGGTCTGATGAAAAAAGACCACATATTTTAAAAGCCACCTATTAATCAAAGCCATGATGGAAGAGAGGTTGCAAGATACCTGTGAAAAACATGACCAGGCACAAAGCTCAGGGGACAGCATTCCGCTGCTATTGTCCCGACAGTTTTTCCTGCAAACAGTGAACTCGACGGGAATAAAAACACAGGGAGGGAAGTACTTTTGAAACAGATCCCACCACAAATCATGCAATAATTGAAACAAAGGAAAGAGATTTCACACTGTGTCAGCCAGCGTTACAGTCTTGGAGTTTGAAAAGGAAACCGGAGTCATTTCAGCTGTCAGTCGCATCAAGTGGCACAGGGCACGAGTGGGGAGAGCTCTGCCCTGATCTGTTCCTGATCACTTCCTTGCAGCTCCCTGCGTGTGGCCTTCAGCAGAGCAGGGACGTGTACTACCCATAGCTGCACCCATTTCTGACAAGTTTTAGGTTGGGAAATTCCCCCCCAGCACAAAGTACCTAAACTACATGCTAGCAACCACTGATGAGAAAAAGCCGAGTTAGGCTTTTGAGAAGGAAACACAAAGTGATGCCCAGCAAGGCCAACCTGAAGTGCTGCATGCCAGGATTCCCTGCAGCCACAGATGAGTGCCAGGTATGCTCAGAGCACAGCAGATACAGCTCAAACAGCAAGCGGGCTGAAAGGTGGGGCAAGGACCATTGCCTGGAGAACTGATTAAGTGGTACCTCTGGGGGGAAGAAGAAAAGAAAAGCCTTTAAGGGATTATTTATAGGGCTCATAAAGGTGCCTTTTGAATATCCATCAATCAAACAGTCAGTGGAAAGGTCTGCTCAGCACACAGGAGAGTAGAAGGAGTAAAGGAAATTGGCTATGGCATCCATCTGAGATGCAAGCTATCATCCATAATCTTCAGCGACCTGCTCTATATGGAAAGCACAGCAGTTTGGTGAGCAGGATGGTGAAGCACTGAACAAACAGCTGCTTGGCTTAAAACAGATGTGGCGGCTTCTGCCCCTGCTAAAGACAGGAAATGTCAGGAGTAAGTTGTAAGTTTTAACAACTTTGGGAGAAATAATAGAAGACAGGAAATGATCTACACAAGGATACAGCAAAAGGTATTTGGGTGCCAGCCAAAGGGCTGTAACCTGCCTTGAAGGAGCAAATAAAACCAGGAAGACAATAACAACAAAGCAGTGGCTGCCTGCAGACAGAATAAAGGGTAATTGCTGGTGAGCATAGGGCCTGCTAAGGGAATAGACAGTGAAAGGAGAGGAGATTCACAGACCATTACAGAGCTTACAAAAGCTGTAGGTCAGGAGCAATAGGCTCATGATGATCACTGGTTTTATGGCTGGTTTCCTTGCATCCTACTGCAGGAATAAACTACTGATCCATGGCAAACATTTCTTCCTAGGATTCCACTTCATCTCTTCCTTTGTTCTGGTTTTGTAGTGGCATTTGTGGAGCATTTTGGTAAATTGGAGTTGCAAAGCAAGGCCCTTCCTGGCTTCCCTTGTTACCAGGAGGCTTGCTTGGTCTAACTCAGAAAACAGAGAGGTTTGTGGCTTTTGGGTTGGGGAAGCAAAACCAAGAGGCAGAAGCTGATGTCTGCAATATGGTCCCACCACTGCACCACTCCCTGCTTGAGCAGCCTTTGGGAGCAAACAGCTACACAAGGCACGGCTTTACATTTCTTTCTGATGTGACTTATACATTTGATGACAAAGTACTGTACTACAACACCCCATTTATCTTATTAAATGGTCCCAGAACAGCTCTGAGAAATGTATTTAACATGGAGACATCTATTAATTAATAAGCACATTAGTCAGCAATCAATACTCAGTTGATGATATTGTTTAAATTATACATACACAATAAGGATATGTTTCTGCCTTCCTCATCTGTTTTAAGGCATATATTGAAAACAAGTAGTGCAGAACGGCTTTGCATTCAAAAAAGTTAAATTAAGATTATTCTTAAATAGACTAATCCTATGAACATATTATATTGCATAAAATTAGCCCTGAGCACAGTCAGTTTATCACCTCACTCTCTTCACAGTCCATTGATTAAGCAGACACTGGGAGCAGTCTGTTCTTTACTGCGTTTGTTTTTATTGCAGCAATACTGTTATCTGTTTCAAAATCCTGAGTGAGGCATTCCCAGCAATTACTTCTTCTGGGTCTGCATAAAATGTACAGATAATTCTCAGGCTGATTCGCTACTGCCACTTGTATCACTTGAAGGCAACAGCAGCGATCTTCAGCTGCAGATCCCTGTCCTCAGCCTTGCTCTCACACAACACACACCCCTGCACCAGCACCTACACCACAGCCAACACTGTGCACTGTACACAGACCACTTTTATATGGCACCCTTATTGCTTCCCAGGAAAATGGGACTGGACTGATATGATCCCAGAGTCATTCTGCAAGAGGAAACCCTGGGGCTCTCTAAGCTACCCATGCTCACACAGGTAACTCAGTCTGGCTGCACAGCAGCATCACAGAATCACAGCCCAGTTTGGGTTGGAAGGGACCATCCAGCTCCAATCCTTCCCATGGCCAGGGACACCTTCCACTAGAGCAGCTTGCTCCAAACCCCATCCAACCTGGCCTTGAACAGTGCCAAGGATGGGGCATGGTTTGCTCTTCCTCCTGTCTGAAAGGGATGTTCTTTATGCTCACATTCCTCCCTAATAACTAGAGAACAGCTTTTGCCTAGCAGTAAACCCAGATTTCTTGGTCACACACACGCACTCAGTTACGCTTCCCTTCAGTAAATCCAATTACAAGATACATTTTGTTCTTTCATTTACCTTGAAATCAAACTTTTCTTTTTAGCACAGGATGAATAAGCACAGCTAAAGCCCCAGGAACCAGTGCAGGCAATGCTCCTCTGTGCTACTTCTCCCCATGCTGCCTGCACAGCTCATCCCTACCATGGGGTTCACAAGCCACTGTTTTTATATGACCAGATGACACCAGCCTCAATTTTCCCCTAAGCAGGGCTGCCATAAATGGGAATAATTTAATAGAAGTGGAGAAAGTCAACAGAATCATTCTGGGGTTTTGCTTCAGTCTCGTGACTGTGTTTTAGCAGAGCTTAAATCCTGAGCCTGGACATACTCAAAGTGGATTAAAAAGCATTTATTTTACATTAAGAAGCAGTCTACTTAGGTGCAAAGTTAATATATTATAATACTTAATGCACTAATATTTATATTAATATGTTTAAGTTATATTCAATTACTGCAAGCCATTTACACAAGTAGTTTTACCTAGAAAGTTTCAACTCAATTGGCTGAAGGTCATTTTCATGAGTGTACACAAGCCCTAGAGAGACAATGGGCTTGCTTTAAATTACTACACTATGTAAGAACAGCGTATGTCCTCTCTTCCTATACATACAATACTTCTATTAGCATAACTGTCAAAGGCTGCTTTTGTCTGCTTTGCTTTCAGACACTGAGGATTGATAGATGGCCACTTTCCTCTCCATTTGGGCACACTGGAGCTACATGAATGCCGAATTACAGCAGTGCTCTCTTGTTTACTCCTAAAGATAATATTATTTGCTTGTCGGCATCTCAGAAGCCACCCTCCAGAGCAGAAAATTACCTGAACCCAGAGATCTTTACCAGCTGATGGAATTACAAATGACACAAGCACTCAGAACTTACAATAACAGTCATCACAGGAACACAAACTGATTTGATAGACCAAATTAAAGGTGCGTCCATGCTGTGGGCGGAGGCAGCAGGGAAAAGGGGATGCTGGAGATGGGATCATCCTGTTAGACAGCCTTCAGCACTGTCCTACCAGCGCCACGCGTGAGAGGGTGCTCTGCTCTCACCTAACTCCTGTGCTCTCCCTGCAGCTGCAGGCCCTGGAGTTACACTTTTCCTCGCCCTCGGCTCTGGAATGAGAAGGCAGAAGAAAGCTGAGGGACCCAGAGCCTGAAGCGGGACCCAGAAGTGGCTGAGGGGGGTGTGGGAACCACTGGGAGGCAAAGGAAGGAAATGCGATTCACAGCTACGTGCTGTACAACAGAGGATGCTCTTCACCAGCATGGGCAGTGCCTGGCTCAGAAAAAGAGGTTGAGCTCCTGTGCTGAGCAACAGGCCTGGACTGCCACCAGTTCATGCTCTGCCCCTTACACTGTCTCTACATAGAGGTGTAGTGTACTGAGTCACTTCCTCAGCGGTGCAGATCCAGAGCCTCACTGGGTCTGCCTCACTCAGTGAGATTTTGGTGGGAATACTTACAACTGTGAGCACCAGATTTGTTTCCTATGAATGTGTGCCAGTGTTTACCTAAAACTTTCCCTTTCAGCAATGGGTTTTGCCAGTAAACACCTTTGCTGTGGTATTTTTGGCACAGGAGCTTGAACAGGGACATTAACCCAACCAAACACCTTCAAAGCTGAAGTGAGCACTCACAGAGTACTCATCCAACTCTGCAATTACATTACTTCTGCTTTGCGCTAAGGAGTAACCTTTGTGAGCATGACTGTCCATGAGCTACCTGGACCAAGTGAAGCTCTCCCAGGTGAGGCTTCTCTGGTTCCAGGTGGTTCTTCAACCCCACAAATACACATCTTGGAAAGTTTTCCTACAGACTGATACAAAGCTTTATGTATTCAGCTCGGACTTGTGTGGAACTGATGGGCTTGGCTCTGCCTGAACCCAAAACGCAAGTAAAAGCCAGCCTGTGTCAGAAGACCAGAAGAAGGAGTCACACAGAAATGGACTTTCTCAGCCACACTGCACGTGCCTGCTGCTGGACTGCTTATGAATACAGGAGGGATTTTTCTCAGTTATTCAGCACTGTGTTGAAGTGCTTAGAGAGGACAGCTCAGCTGAGATTGCACACCTAGACCTGGGATTGTGGCTTTAATCTTAACAACAGACTCACCTGGACATCAGGACTGCAACCACACCAGGAGCCCAAGCGCATGCAGAGCTGGCGATCGGCTGGTGAGCACAGGCTGGTTTCACCCCCTCATCTCTCAAACATCCTGCATCAGACGTTGCTGGAGGTCAGCGCATGCAGCCACAGAGGATGTTGCAATACCTGTGATAAAAATCAAAACAGAATGTGTTCTGATAGCTGGATTGAAAATTAGCTTTAGGGGCTCCATGCATTGCTTTCTTAATGATGTGAAACGTAGTAGCTTCAAGGGTAATAAAGATGAATTACTTTTTAATAAAATAATGAAACTCCAGTAAACACTCAGGTTTATCACTTAATTTATCCCCAGTGCTCACACAGAAAGAATTTTTTTGCTACCTCATTTTTAATATTCTCAGTGATTAGATTCCAATAACCTGCTCCACAGTAATGTGTGTCTCATTTCCCTGGACAGCCAAAATAGGCCATAACTTCCTCTCCGTTAGAGCACTAATGCTGTAATTTAGAACTTCTGTCAAGATGAAAGATCTTCCCAGGGAGTTGCAGCAGGCCCATGGCAACACTTTGGCAGAGGGCTGGATAATGAAGTTTTCATTATTAAATAAAGATATTTTAGGAATGTCATAACCCATGAACCCATTCTTCTACCACGCATCGGCACGTTGTTTATTTCTCATCTGCTGGTACTATCTTGCCCCTCCTCACTCCCGTTTTTTGGCTACCTTGTGAGCTTCCTGAAGTCACCAGAGACATCAATCCAAGTCCCTCTCCCAGCGGTCCTAGGGTGGGATGGACTGGAGCATGGCTGGGGAGGGCATGGGCTGACATCCCTTTGCTGGCAGACAGCCTGAGCCCTGCAGGTTGGTACTACCTGAATGAAATGTTAATGTGGAAGCTCAGGAGCATCAACAGTTATGGGAACAGGGTGTTTTTCAGGAGGAAATTTATCACTTGTGAGTGGTGCCACACTGGATTCTTGGTAAAGGCTGCAAGTGAAAGCAAAGGCAGATCTGCAATAAAGAAGTTTCCCAGCATTTAGGTGTGAGGTGAATCAATAGATCTCAGCAGGGTAGCTTGCTGCCTTCTGAAGACACAAGAAAGACAATTATGAATTGCACAGACAGCCCTGCTCACCTATCAGAGCACTGCATTTAGTTTTGGAGTTTAAAAACAAGCTGTAAACCCTATCAGGAATTGAATTAATGGGAAACAATTTCCCCCTTCCCGTGTTAAGCAAACAGGGAAGTTGCGTGTGACAGCATAAATGCTCTGTGTAATGGTTTGCTAAGATCCTCCTGATTAAAAACACAAAATCTCATTTGAAGATAGTTAATGGATTCTGCATGTCTACAAAGTATTATGAAGGCAACATTCATCTGAACTTGGGGCCTGTGCTGATTACAACTCAATTAGTTGTGATTCAGTTCACTGAAGAAAAATACCCATTTCATCAGCACAAAGAAATAACCACTGGCCACAAAATGCATTTTCTGGAATTGCTCTACCAGCTGCTTAGATATTGTGTTTAGAATGGTCATGCTGCCATGAGGCTTTAACCGCAGCCCTGATTTCATGTCACTGGCCTCAATTCATCCTGTTAACACTTTTCCTTAAGACCACCTCAGTGCACACCACCAATCAGGGAGTTTTTACTATTCAAACTAGATGTGCTTAGAAGCACATCCTACAGCATGGGGGTAAATGTATTGGGGATTTTGATCTGCTGCATTTTGATGACGGAACGCCCTTTGCCAAATTCAGTTGTTGCCTTCGGCACCATTACCAGAGGCTTCTGGATTCAGCAGAGCAAATGCATCCTCTGCTGCTGCCAAAGAGAGGGAGGGTGCTTGCACAGGGAGCACAGATGCCACGGTTTCATTTTGCAGCTTGCAAGCAACCAAGGATGGTGCTGCTGGCTGCCAAGATGAAATCCCATCATCACACTGGGCCTCCAGAGCTTAGAGCAGCCAATGTGAAAACCCTATTTTTCCGCTTAGAACAGGTAAATCTCAGTGTCCATCGAGGAGCAGGTCTGTTGGGTAGGACAAACCTAGATGTCACCAGAGTGAACAAGAAGCTTCCTGCCTTGCTTTTTGCCGATGCTATTGGGACAATTCTTGGAGAGCACTCTCTCTAGTACCAGCTCATGCTCTGTGTTGTCTCACAGCTTATCCCATTCTTCTTTTGGGTCGCTCTCTTTAAGTAGAATCATAAAATCACAGACTCATAGAGTGGTTCGTGCTGGAAGGGACCTTAAATCTCAACCAGTTCCAACCCCCTGCCTTGGGCAGTGACACCTTCCACTAGCAGTTTTGGTTTAAGCCCTTTTTGGCCTCATTGCTAAAATGAGATGAAGTTGTTAGCTTGCACAAATCGCTCTCAGTGGCAATGCTGGGATACATCAAGCTTCCAGAAGGGAATCTATATTGCTACGAAAACAGGCTTGAATTTCAGTGTCATGTTCCCACGATAAAGCTCAAGCACAGCTCGAGGCAAACGAGGACCAAAGGAAACGCAGCGCGTAGGTTAAGTATCAGCATTAAGATCTTGCTTTCGTCTTCCTGCAAAGAAGCAAACAAATAAATATGAAGAAAGAAGAAACGAAGATAGCGCGAGGAGGGGATGTCCCCAGGGCACAACGCTCGGGGTCAGCCCAGCTCCCTGGCCACTAGGTGTCTGTCTTGACTCAAAATCATGACCTGGACCAAGGCAGTGACTGAAGTCAGGCTGGGAAAGCTCTCCCTTCCCCAGCAGCGGGTAGATGAAAGTAGCGCTTTCCACCTTCGCTGGTCTTTATCATACCGAGTCCTGGACTTTTTGTCTCTCATCACCGTATCAGCAGCAGCTCGGGGGATGAAGTTCAAGCCCCCCCCCCTTGCTCCCCACCTCCAGGAGCCCTGATCTGACCAAGGTGGTTCTCGCTGTGCGCTGTGGTGGGTGCTGAGCCCTGCGCTGCTCCTGGAAGCTCTTCTATTTATGGAAATTCAAGTCTTTCATTTCACTTAATTAAAGCACCCAGGAGCTATCGGGCTCATGTTTTTCAGGAGATTAAAGTGTGCTTTTAGAAGGCAGGGAAGGGCCAAAGCCTGAAGCTTAAACACAAACCAACTCTTCGGTGGGAAGAGATGACAGGAGATTCAAATCCATGATGCTGGGATTCAGCACTATCCCAGCTCAATTCTGAAGTCTGATTCCTACTGAGAAAATAACACAGGAAACACAATCTGGGATATACTTCTGTCTCCACAAGTGGCCAAACCCAGACGTATTCAGGAAAAAGATAAATACAAACGGCAATACAAACTAAATTCCACTTTTCTGCTTTATCTGGTTCTAGACCAATTCAAATATTCACCTAAACTATGTGTTTTTCATTGCACAGAAAAACAGTGTGATAAAATCCTACTGCCACAACAGAAGTATTAGTCACAGCAGTAAAACCATAGAAAGATTGAACAGACCAATCCTACTACTAGATAGGCTTGCAGAAGACCCCCTTGTGCAAAGGCAGTTTGGAATTTAGCAAAGGTACATGCAGGGAGTTACACAGGTGAGACATCCATCAGAACCTCAGGACATCCAGTTTCCATTTCATATCATTATCTAGTCTAGCATCAGCACATATTCTGATCTCATTCACAGCACGGCCAAACTAAAACCAGTATTAACCCTGTGGAAGACAACTGACTTTTGCCAGTGCAACCATGGTGAGATCATCTTCAAGCCCTGGGCCATGCTGCATTACAAGTGGCTATCTCAGGCAAGCACCTAAAGCCATTTTAAAGTGGCAAAAAGCAGTTACATGGTTGATTATCAGTTTGTGTTTTCAAGCCAGCATCAGAAATAGCTAAATCTGATACATGCACAATGTGGGGTGAAGAACTCATTGCTACTGAATTCACCTAAACCTTTTGGGTCCAGAGGGTGCACACTAATGAGCCACTCACATGCAATAGCTGCTTTCTACCCTTCCAAGCTGCACGTAAAAACACATTTGTCATTTTGACATTTTCAATGTCTATCTGATCACACTGCTGTCACCCCAAGACTGTTGCCAGCAGCAGACTATGCACAATAAAATCTACAGATACCTACAACACTTGACTTGGTTTTGTAACTTCAAACTGCATCTTAAAGGGGAGCAAAACTGCTCTCGGCAGAAGTACCACGAGAACTCATCCCTCCAGATGTGGCTCATCAGCAGACACAGGCTTTCCCACTCTCTATTCCTTATCAGTGAGAAGCTGGCTTTCCTCAGGCTTCCCCTTGACAATGCCACATGAAAATATGCCGTGGTTCCAGCTGGCCAGGTGGCTACTGGAGCACAGAAATGATTCTGCTGAGCTAACGAAGCTTAGGCCAGAACTGTGTAAATACTGGAGAAAAGAACTGGCAAACGTTTGTTCAAATGAAGGCATGGCATTAGTTTCAATAGCACCCACGAGTCATAACGGCTCTTGTCCGCTCTCCCGGAGTACTTGCACAAATGAACTGTTGTTTGAAAGAACATTCAGACAAAGCCTCTGAAAAACACAGGCAAATACATGCTCAAATCTGAGAGTTACGCAAGTATTTCCTCTGATGACTAATGACACCAAGGACTTCTCCTGCTGTTTGTGAACCTGGGAGTCATCTGCCCAGGAGTCTAAAGTGGACTACGTGGAAAAGAGCACAGATCAGTAAAGAGCAGTTTGAGGGAGGTGCACATTTGGATTTATTAGCATTTCTACTAAGATTCAATCCCACATCTTAGAAAGTCACTTTCTAATGTCAACCCGACATTAGAAAGTCACTTTAATATCAGCCAATTTACCTAAAAGCCTCTGAATTCCTCTCTGCAGGAACCTGGATATCCCAAGGCTGCTGCAAACGACTGTCTTCTCAGCACCTGTCAGTAACTTCCTGCTATCACAGCTCTAACAATGACAGTATTCCTCTGACAAGTAAACTACCTACTTGAGCACTGGATGGACTAAAATGTGAACTCAAAGCAGGGCAGCTCTTACCATACAATAGATATTGTGTCTGAGCACCACGGGCTTTTTAAGGAACGAGAGGAGGTAAAAAGTGGAAGTCTAGGATGTCAGCAGCAGGATGTAGGGGTGGAGAGTCCGGAGGCCCCACAGATCGCTGAGATCAGAGGTGGGAAGAAGCTGCATTGG